ATATAATAGATATCAACGATAATGAATAAGATTTTATTAATTTCCCATTGAAAACGTATATATTCTTTTTTTCTTTCTTACGTCTACGACTCAAATTAATCGAGATCAATTAAGTTCCCGCTCGCACCAATTGAATCATAAACTTCAATTAACATCCACTTATTGGATTCCCGTCTTCAGCAGAATTGAGGAAATAAGAAGAGGTGAGTAACAGCAATAGGAATTAAGTGGTTATTAGTATAAGACAATGCTGAAGTATTAAAAAAAAAGAAATTTAATTGATTCTTGTCTTCATAAAAATGAAAAAAAAAAAAGATGAAGAGGTGAAAAAAAGCAATAGGATTGAAGTGGTTATCATTATTTGGTAATAGGGATTAAAAATAATGAAAAATAAATGTATTGCTTTCCCATCTTTAGAAAGAACAAATGAAAATTTCACGTGGTTAGCTGAAGTAATACGAATAAAATGGTTATCATTGAAATGGTATTAATTGAATTGCTTAACAATATTTATTCACCCTTAATAAACATATATTTCAGTATTACAATATCATCAATATATTTTAAACATATTTATTATTATTCACTTAATATATCTTTATTCGAGGTTTTTTTTTTCAGGATTGTACTGAAATTAGTTATATGAAAATCACTGCTCTAACGTTTCAGAATCACTGCAACTGATTCTTCGTGATGATTCGCGAACATTCGTGTTTTAGTCAACATTTAAAAAAAGTGTGCAAAACGCTCTCTTTTCGTGCCCAAATAAGGATTGTTTAAACGTGCGCAGCTGCAGAAGAGTGACGTTTTTGTGCCCAAATAAGGTGATTTTTAAAATAATCACTTAACATTAATTGCTTAATTATAGAACGCGCAAATTTCTACATTTAAGATACATTTTTTTCTTTAAGAATTTATGTATTATTAGAAATACTTTTTAATATTAGATTCCGCTCAATAGATTTAAAACGAAACACCTTAATTTTCAAGTCCATTAATCAATTAGTTTACATTTGAATAAAGAAAATATCAACATCAAAAAATGGTTTGTGGGCTGAGACTAAGACTAAGTTTATTTAATTAATTTGAACGTAAATCGCTTGTCTTCAGAAAATTTTAAGAGGTGAACAGAAACAATACAAGTGAAAGATTTTTCTTAAATTTATTGAAGTCGAGAATTAATAAAAGAGTTAATTATCAAAGTACAGTGGAACCTCGCTTAACGAGTTTAATCCAAAATTTCCAGATTTTTACTGATATAGTGAAACATATAAAAAAATACACAATTCGGGACTTTTCTTCTCATCGTCACTCGTTATGCAAAACGTAACAAGCGACGTTTTGCATAACGAATGATGATGATTCATTTTGCTTGTTAAGCGAAATATTCGTTATGTGAGGTGCTCGTTAAACGAGGTTTCACTGTATTTGAAAATATAGTCTTTGATGGATATAAAAATGTGTATGTAATTTGCTTTGTTCGTAAAGGAAACTGGGAAAAGTGTAGGTGCTTTGTGGCAAAGAAGAAAAGAGGAGCAGTGGACGAAGAAAAAGGTAAATGGAAACATATTAGGGAAATGTATTTATGGAGAAAAGGGCTTTCGGATATAATCGAATCTGAATGGAAATGGAGGAAGTAAATGCGTTATTCTTTAAAGGAGATTTAAAGTGATTCGAATGAGTGGAATTTATTGGATGTTGCTTCTTAAGCCGTTTATAAAGGGACGATCAAAATGTGAAAATTTTTATACTGTAACTTTTTACAATGTTTTCTTACGTATTCAAGTTAAAAAAAATGCAACTTGAGCATTATTTTCAAGCAACAAAACACAGTTCACCTTGATTCTCGATGCTAATCTTCATTTAATAATAAGCGAAACGAAACACCGAGCTTTCTGTCCCATTAATATTCAACTTTTCTCCCTTCTAAAATTAATAAAACCGCAAAGTTTACGGTGCGGAAACAGCGATAATTCCTTTTCCTTGGGCTCTAATGTAATCAAAATAAAACACGAAAGAAGAGAAAAATTATCTACTACATATATTTTAGTTGAGATAATATAACGCGAACTGGGACATGGATATTATAGTTGAAATTAAATTGTCTTTAGTAATTCTAGAAACTTCTCAAGAACTTCTTCTTCTTTCTTTTATTTGCGCTTTCTTTTATTCGCAATTTAAGTCAAACAAAGTACATTTGTCCTAGTTCCAGGAAGCCATAATTTATTTGAATTACGAAAATGCTTAGTCGCGACTGAAATACGCTGATTTTAATGTTTGAATAATGAATGTACTTCGGTATTTTCAATTGGATTAAAGCAATTTACAAACGTCACGTGATTGAAATGTTGAAAACCTATTTTATTATTAAATTCCATCAATTATTTAACTTCCGTCTTCCGTGCAAATCAAATGCATAAATGACTGTCAAACTATAGTATTTTTGTGTAAAAAAAATCAAAATTTTGTCTTTCAGTTAAAAATATACATTTTTTAATTTAATTAATATATTTATTTGCTATTTTTTATTGCTCCTAATTTGAGTTATTTGCAGATAATCCTAAAAAAGTCTTAATCCACATTACAGGATTTCCTCTATTGATTTTAAGTCTTTCCCAGACAACTCACTTTTCCAACTACTTTGATTTTTTTTCCACAGCTCACGGCATTTTTTCCCTCCCTTTATCTACCTCACCGCACCAATCCACTTTACAAAACTTTTCAACGTTACTTAATTTGAATTTAGTACATCTGTCTCCTACCATGCGATCATCATAACGTTTTCCATAAAATAATAATAAAAAAAAATCTTATACATTTCTTTTTATCACATAAACTTTAATTGAAAGTCCTTTCTTCCACCCTATCAAGTTCATAACATTTAATTGAATCTGCTAACATCAGATTCTCCAGAAAATGATTATTTTTTACTCTTTTACTCTTCAAAACCTTTCACCTTGAAAACAACGAACAAATCTTGTCTGCTATAATCGAATTCAGATGTTTCTTTTTCTTTTCTTGATGTGTAATTTTAAATAAATTGACGTGTCGAATGTTATGACTGTGTACGACTTTTCTCGCGTAATAAATCAAGAAAGTTTGAAGGAAAATTTACATACGTTTCGAATCGCCGTGTTTTCATATGAGTTCAGCGAAATATATTTTCTCTTAACTCGCTTTTATTTTACCTCTTTTTTTTTCGATGCAGTTCTTTGTATAAATCAAGAAAGTCTACAGACACATACACGTATTTCTAACGGAAATATTGGAGGATTTTTCTTGCCGATTCTCGTTTATAAAAGTTTGGAAAAGTTTTATCCACGAATTTTTCAATACATCAAGATTCCCAATTTTTCTTTAAATAAAAAAAAAATGTTTTTGACTGGAGTTTTTAGCAGTCTTCATAATAATTTATTACATATATTAATATTATATAATATTAATTTTTAAAATTTTGTAAATATTTCACTTATTTTTCCATTGTATCTAAACTTTTGAAATAAATTACGAAAGTTCCTGCATCTTAATGGAATGCTTTAATTGAGTAAAATTTACAAACGGTTTCCGGTGGGTCCTTGCTTGCAGACTTTATACATTAAAGTGGAATATATCAGCTACCGAAATGCGAATATGAAAATACCTACTTTTAAAGTTTACAAAAGTTAAACTTTATCTTTATGTATTCTCAGCTTGAAGCACAAATACGATATAAAACTTTTATTTCAGCAAAAATTTAATATACAAATTATGCATGATATTAGAATAGTTATTTGTAAGTAAAATAAAATTTATTATGTTCATAAAAACAACAAAGGACTATTGACTGCAGTCTTTCCGTCCGGGGTTTTTGACCCAATGACACACATTTTAGGGCAGGTATAGGTTACAAAATATTTTTGCTATTATATATTAGAATTAGTGTATTATTAAGTATAAATTGTTACAATTTGTGCAAAGTACACTTAAAGAACGTCAGTTATCAACAATTATATATATTATGTCAGTGAATAAACGTCGCTTTTTTATGTTGAATAACAAAAAAATGTGTTATGTATTCTATCTATAAATTGTTGTAAGGTGAGATTTATTTTGTTTATGATTGGTGTGCAATGCACACGTTGACAAGTGAAAGTAGTTGTTTACATAGTATATTTGATAAGTGTATGGATCAGAAATAGTGTTTAGTTGAGAAGGCGTTGGTGCGCGGAAGGTGTGCGATGCACACCTATGACAGTTTTTTGACCTACTGAGACATATATTTCCGAATGTATAGTAAACATAGCGTAGGGGTAATAAATTAAGTTCGGTACGCCTATGGTGAGGATCGGTAGGAGGTTACGTCCACGTGGGGGAGGTGACTAGTAGTGGGCCGGTAGCAAATTGTTGGCGCGAAGGAAGGTGTTTTGAACGAAAGGTTATGGAGGGCAGGTAATTGTTGTTGATTAGGTTTGAAGGATGGTGGAAGGGTGGTCCAAAGTCGGTGGTGGGAGTTGCGGTCTTGCAGCGGCGAAAATTGGAACGATCGCGAAAAGTTTTCGCGGGTGCGCTTTAAGGGTGGTCAAAAAGTTTTGAATGGCGCGCGATGCGTGAATCGGCGCGCACACCGTTGTGCAGAGAAATTGCGGCGGGATAGAGAAAATTTGAAATCCGCGAATCACGTTGGTGGCAGCAAAGAGCGCCCTCCCGGTCTGGGCGGAATGTTGGACGAAGAAGACGAAGAAGGGCGGCCGGCGGTCTTCGTCGCAGGCGCAAGGAACCAGGCGGTGGCCAAATTAATGATCCTCTACAACACCCGCGGCCCTAATGTTTCTATGTGACGCTTGCGCCCCAAGCACTACCAATGGTTGCTGGAAAAGGACGACCGATACCGGGACATTGGTCCGAGCTGGATGGGAGATCCTGTCCTGCGTGAAAGCTTTTCAGGATAGCGATTTTCTCGAAAGCTGCAAGGCAACTGGAAATCAATACTCGCCTTTTTAGAAGCACCTAATGCCCCACATTGCAACTAGAGCCTCTATCGTCGATTTGGTGCACCTCCGCCCTTCGACGCCACTGCCGCCCCTTCGCCAACGCCCCCTCTGCCGCCTCCTCTGCCGCCACCACCATTTCCACCACTCCTCCACTCAGTCCAAATCGAAGCTCTATACCAGTGTAGTGACATGCAGAGCGCCACACTGTGCTGCTGACTGCCGCCGAACTCGCCACACAAAGGGATGGGATAGCGACACAAAACTTCGCGAAACAAATCGAACTATCAACAAGGTTAGTCGAAACTTTTTCAAACTTTCGCCAATCCATCCCATGCCTTCGAACAGCGCACACCTACGGATTTTCAAATTTTCTTCACAAAATTTTACTCAAAATAAAATTTGAAAATTCCCATCTTCAAAAAAAAAAAATTTTCTTTTAGGACAAGAAAAAAATAATAACAAAAATAAGTTAAATATAAAGCTTAACATTAAGAAATTGAATAAGAATATTCTCACAAAATTTCTTCGGAAACTTTTGAAAAACTTTTACTTTTCGCAATTCAAGTTTATAAGCAAAGTATATAAACTCAATCATAAACAATTCGAAGAGTTCGCATTCGCAACTTTCGTTGAGTTTCTTCGATTCGAACGGAGCGCGAACTTTCTTCCGTACACGCGATTTGCACGCGCGTGCGAAAATCAATGCTATAACATGAGGATCCCGGCAAGCGAAAGTAAATCTGCGCTCCGTTCGTTCTTCCTCTCTCGTTTTATTTTTCTCTCCTTTAACTTTGTATCCGCTTCTGCTTTTCTATTTTTCATTTTATACCGTCCCGGTTGGTTAAATAAATTGCGCGCTCGGAAAGTCGATCTCAACTCCCATTCAGTTATGCGAAATGTTATAAATAGCAGATTTATTTATAGAATACTATCATTTTACTACGGCGCGCGTATTTATGCACATATATACGGACACAAAGGTTCGCCAAACCAGGCGGAAAATAACAAAAGCTTTATCCTTTTAATTGCATTGCGACGACGATTTTACTTTCAGTACAATTGGAATTTCACTTTTGTTTGCACTTAAGTGATCTTTCCCTACAATCTATTCAAAGCTTCGACCCTATTTATTTACCTTATTTATCAAACCAAATCCACAACTTTACAAAATAACAAATACCAAATAAAGATAAATAAAAACAACAACAAAGGTAACCTCTTTCATGCCTTATCCTGTTTAACCAAATTGCTTTGTTTCTGCTTTTTTTGTAGCAAATGTGCATATATTCGCTGTTATTAACGTTACTCGCAAAGAGGCGATCGTTTCCCATTTACATAACATTATGATAAGCGGTTTAATAACGTTACATGCGGAAACCAGCGCGTGATATTGTGCTGCTACAGGATACACATATCGCTTAATTTAATCTATCGATCGTACATACACACACGCACACACAAACAGGCTGTGTCGTTTAATTTATTTCTCGTTGTTGTTTTTCTCTCGTCGTATAATTTTTTTGAGTATGTACATTTATGTTATTTACAGTATGCGATTGGGGGACATACGCTGTTTTTCCTATATTCCTATATCCTATGCGATATACGTATTTCACCCAGTCGCACATCTGGGTTGAATCGATCTATACTCTGTTTCAATTAAATCATTTACGCATATAAATTTGCGTTAATTATGATACAGCGATATTATGCAAGAATGTAAATTTGGTAAGGGTAATCCGCTTTATTGTAAGCCGTTTATTATCATTCAGGGGTGGGCGTACTTTAGCATACAAATTTCATACAACTTTATTTGTATTAAAATAATGTTAAAAATAGTTTTTTTTTAATAAATATATCTTAATTCTTGAATAATATTGATTATGTTAGGAAAAACATGAATTATAGATAAAATATGAAATCTCTTAATTTTACTTATATCCAAATTTAATATGTTTTTCCGTTAAAAAAGTAAATCTAGATTGAAGACTTAAAACGTTTGTTCGGTATATCGTGGTTGTTTTGTTGCCCAGTCCTGAGTTTATTTGATTTATTATGAGTTTGTGTGATGTTGATGAGTAAATGACGGATTTGGGACGACAGATTGGGAACGCGTCTCTAAAGGAGATCGAAGATGATTGATCCTTCATCCTCCGAGGAGGACACCGATGAGGAACACGGACCGCAACATCCCGGTCATCATCCAAGCACGCGATCACGCGGCGATGCCCACCATCAGGTCAGCCAGGTTTGCTTGAAGATATAACCGTATTCAGCGTTTTCATGGTACCATTGGATTTCATTTAGGCGGAAAGCTCGCCCTACCATCACGCGCATTCGTCTGATGGAGGTGGCGGAAGCGGTAGCTTGGAAGTACCGAACAACTCGGGCGCTGCCACCAGGTCATTGTCACCATCAAGTGCCGTCTCCGCGGAAACCCTTAGTCATAGCGTGGGATCGTCTCGAGCGAATTCCTTGCCTAGACCAACGAGCCCTTCGCCCTCGGTCGCCTCAGAGAAGACGGAGGTTGACATCCAGGAAAAACAGGAACGCGAGGAGGAGGAACGGAAGAGACGCATACAGCTCTACGTGTTCATTTCAAGGTGCATAGCTTATCCATTCAATGCTAAGCAACCGACGGACATGACGAGACGTCAGACCAAAATCACGAAACCCCAATTAGAAACTATCAGCGCTCGATTTCAAGTAAGGAAACGCGAAGACATCAGAAACGACAAATCCATTGACGATCTTCTTTTTCTTTTCTGTTTTCTTCAGAGCTTCCTCAAAGGCGAAACGCAAATAATGGCCGACGAAGCTTTTCAAAATGCAGTACAAAGTTATTACGATGTTTTTTTGAAGTCTGAAAGGGTGATAAAAATGGTGCTCTCAGGTGCTTGTTCTCAATACGATTTTAGAGAAGTCTTCAAGAACAACATAGAGAAACGAGTTAGGTACTCATCCGCTCATTGCTTAACAGCGGCAGTCTCATGTTTTCATCTGCTCGTTTTTGTTTTTTCATGTACGCAACAGGTCTTTACCAGACATGGAGGGCCTTAGCAAAGAAACCGTCTTTACCTCATGGATGGCGAAATTCGATTGCATTTTGAAAGGTGCTTATTTCTTATATACATTTTTTTCCGATAATTTCACTCATCCAGCAATTCTTGCGCTTTTATCTAATCAGGTTTAGGAGACGAAGACACGAAAAGGCCTTCAAGGATGCAACAGCAATCCCTTAATTCCGAACTAATTTTATCTAAGGAACAACTATACGACATGTTCCAACAGATATTAGGAGTTAAGAAATTCGAACACCAGCTACTGTTCAACGCCTTAATGGTATGTGCATGCACTCAAGTTGCAAAGAGAAAAAGCTTTTGCTGAGAGAGAGTATTGTTATTTTAGCTCGATTCCGCGGATGAACAAGCCGCAGCAATAAGACGCGAACTAGATGGTAGAATGCAGCGCGTCTCCGAAATGGAGAAGGTAACATAATAATATATAACTATAAACCACATACATGAATGTACACACATAAAACATACATACATAAAAGCCACCGTAAAACAGTGTCGATCGCAACGTGAACTGAGTTGTTTTTGCAGAATCGCAAATTAATGCCAAAGTTTGTGCTAAAAGAAATGGAATCACTATACATAGAAGAATTAAAATCGTCGATAAACCTTTTGATGGCGAACTTAGAATCGCTGCCGGTCTCGAAAGGATCGATGGACTCGAAATATGGCTTGCAAAAACTAAAACGATATAACCACAGGTTGCACAACCATAATAAACCATATACAATGAAGCACCTTTTGATGAATTATGTTACTTCTTTTAGATCCCAAGGATCTTTAGCAAAATTAGAAGGAGATTCCGCGGATAGCGATACGCAACTAACAAAACTTGATGTAGTTTTAACTTTTCAATTAGAGGTAACCGATTGAAACGGAAACCTCGTTTTGTTCTTTGAACGTAGTTATTTTAGGTGGTGGTGATGGAAGTCAAAGGTCTGAAGTCATTGGCGCCCAATAGGATCGTCTACTGTACGATGGAGGTGGAGAGCGGCGAGAAGCTTCAAACCGACCAGGCGGAGGCGTCGAAACCGATGTGGGATACCCAGGGAGATTTCTGCACGACCCATCCACTTCCAGCTGTCAAGGTGAAACTCTACACGGAAAATCCAGGAATGCTAGCTCTGGAGGATAAGGAGCTAGGAAAAGTTGTACTGAAGCCAACGCCGCTTTCATCAAAGGTAACGACGATAGATTAGTGAAGCCGACAGCAGCAGAAGTAAACATTTAGGGATTCTTAAAGGCACCGGAATGGCATAAAATGACTATACCGAAAAACCTGCCCGATCAAGATCTGCGAATCAAGATTGCGTGCCGGATGGACAAGCCATTAAACATGAAGCATTGTGGATACCTCTACGCTCTAGGAAAATCGGTTTGGAAGAAGTGGAAGAAGCGGTACTACGTGTTGGTTCAAGTGTCGCAGTATACGTTCGCGATGTGCAGTTACAAAGAGAAAAAATCAGAGCCATCGGAGATGATGCAGCTCGATGGTTATACAGTCGATTACATCGAAGCTTCAAACGGTAAATAAATACACGCTGCTATTTCGTCACCGTATTTCATCCTACATCCAATCCACCCCCCGTGCAAAGTGTACTTCAAACATTCAACTTGTGTTCTTTTTTTTTGTTTCTCTTCATTCTGTTTACCTGCCGGGTTTTAAAGCGAACCTGATGGTTGGAATGGGTAAGCGTAAGTTGCACTGATTTCTATTTGCTGAACTCGTCACGCGGTATGTAATGCGCGGAAATTTTAGATCTGGAAGGTGGCAGGTTTTTCTTCAACGCAGTTCGCGAAGGTGACAGCATCTTATATGCCAGCGACGACGAGAATGAATGCCATTTGTGGGTGATGGCAATGTACAGAGCGACAGGGCAATCTCACAAGCCGACACCGCCAGTCACGCTGCAAGACAAGAATTCTACTATCTCCAAAATACAAGGTGGTACGTCTCCGGATATGGGACGATCCTAAGATCCGTTGTTCACGCACGACTTCGTTGGTTATTTGCAGATGCGGACAGAGCACGCAAGCACGGTATGGAGGATTTCATTTCGGCAGATCCTTGCACGTTCGATCACGCAACCCTTTTCAAATTACTACAAAATCTCACGTTGGAATACCGTTTGAACGATCCGTATTGCTCACTGGTGATTTAATTCGACGATCTGCCTCCTATCAATCCAATTCACGATTTATTTTCGCAGGGCTGGTTCAGTCCAGGTCAGGTCTTCGTCCTCGACGAATACTGCGCCCGGTACGGTGTTCGTGGTTGCTACAGACACCTCTGTTACCTATCCGATTTGTTAGATCGGGCTGAGAAAAACGTGATGATTGACCCGACTTTGATACATTACAGCTTCGCCTTCTGCGCCAGCCACGTGCACGGTAATAGGTATGTAGCATTTCGATGATTAGAGTTAGAAAAACTTGATTAATTGACAACAACAGTAATGACTTCAGACCCGACGGCGTTGGTAGCGTAACGCACGAGGAGAAAGAGAAGTTCCAGGACGTGAAAGAGAGACTCCGAGTTTTGCTCGAGGGTCAGATTACTAATTTCCGGTAAAGAAACAAACCTCGCTACCTAAGAGAAACAATCGACACCTGACGCGTATATTCTTTGCTTTGTTTCTTTCCCCGTGTTCGCAGGTTCTGTTTCCCATTCGGTAGACCGGAGGGAGCGCTCAAGGCAACGCTATCATTACTCGAGAGGGTTCTGATGAAGGACATCGTTACGCCCGTTCCACCAGAGGAGGTCCGAGGTATGATCAAGAAGAGCTTAGAGACAGCGGCGTTGGTCAACTACACGCGACTATCCAACGAGGCGAAAATCGAAGGTGCGAAATCCTCTATCCTTCCATCACACACATACAATACCTTTCAAACCCATTTTTTTTATGTCTGTTTGCACTCTGCGAGTCATCGATTTCGGCTTATCTTAGGCTTTGCGTCTTTTTCTTTTCTTTACGATTTTTGCAGAGGATTTGCGCGGGGAGCAGATAGTGTCACCGAAAAAAAAGCTCGATGATTTGATTCATCTGGCGGAGCTTTGCGTTGATCTGTTGCAGCAAAATGAAGAGCACTACGCCGAGGTGAGTACTGTATGTCTGATGGGGGCGAATGTGAAACTATCAATTAATCAAAAAGATATTCTTTTGTTCAATTTGTTCAATGAATATCTGCTAATGAGGAAATTATCAATTTAAACGCGTCCAGCAAAACCGTACTCAATTTTCGACTCGACTCGATAATTGCAGCAACACTTCCCCAATTTTAAATTAATATATATTTCAATTTCAATTATTTTTTTAGAAAACACTTATTTTTAATAGTTTACTTTAGGATACCCAACGCGTTTTTTTAACTGGTTTTAATGTATATGTCTACTGTTTTTGATGTTATTTTGTAACTCGTTTGTAACCCCTCGTATTTTACTTGTGCTCTATTTTTCTCTCTCTATTTCTATCTACCTATGACTCTTTCTCTCTATCTATCTGTCTCTCTATATCTATATCTATTTCTATATATATATGTATATTAATCAGTATATGTATGTATGTATAAATTAAATATGTGTTTTTGATTTGTATTATTTGTTGTCGATTTTGGGTGGATCTCTTCGAGATGTAGGATGTGGATGCTGGGGTGCTTCCGATTCCATCTCGAAGAGGTCCTGAATGAATATTTTTTATTAATGTTGTCTGTAATTCTGTGTGTACATGCAAGCAGCTGCGAAAGGCTGAGCGGCAAACATCGGCCCAACCTTCGAGCGCGAATTCGGGCACGAATACGGGCACTCCGAGCCGCGATGCTAAGCAGCAAAGCTCTGTGTATCGCTATTGCATGCCACAGCATGCCACTTACACCCCACCAGACCCCACGGCACGTACATTCTATTTATTCTATTCTATTCTATATTTTGTTCGTTCGTTTCGTTTTTTCTTTCTTTTTCTTTTTCGTTCTCGTTCCTTGCTGAACGGCTCCGGTATGCGACTCCTGACTCTACGGGACACATCTGTCCCCTACTGTCAGCAATTTGCCAACCTCGAACCTATTGCCATCAGCCCAGCCCGCATAGTTTACTAACGGCTGCGGCTTTTGTTTCCATCAGTTTCACCGCAAATGCGGCTTCCACGAATTATGTTCCACGTGACTTAGTCCACGTCCATAGCCTTGGAACTAATTTACCGCGGTTTCCAATAAACTTCACTCGAATTAATCACGAGAAACGGAACTAAGAAAACATCTAATAATTACACAATCTAATCGACATACCTCAATTTCAATTCATAAACAATAATGAAAAACCACATTTCTCTCTACAAAATTTTACTTTAAGAAATTAGGAAATTAATATATGTAATCACAATAATGGAACATCCAACAATTCAATGAATCTCAATATATATTCATAATTAATACACAAAAAGACACCTTCTTCGTTACAAAAAATAAAGGTTAAAATTAATTTAAAAGAGTATTAAAATTTATAAACAATACACAAAAGCAATGAAAAGTGTATTTTCAAAAAAAATTAAATTAATTTAAAAAGTTTTTATTCTTCTCTATAAGAAATATCCAGTAAATAAAAGTCATAAATAATTAAAGTGAATCTTAATAATTTTTCAAGTTCAATGCAATTACCGGTATCCTTGAACCTTAACGAACGATTTCCTAATCGAATTGAAAACAATTGCAAATAATCCTGACCTGGAAATCTCGTAAGTCTATCAGACGTCTAACAGAGTAACCTTGAGTGATTAAAAATTGACGTCGAAGTTTGCGAGATATTTGGAGCGAAACGGAAATGTGTCAGTGTAGGAAAATGTTGTTCGTTGTGAGGAATTGCTTTCATCTGACTCGAAAGCTCCCGTTCGCAATTTCACACTCTATCATCTCACGAGAAACGAAATCTATATTGCATACATCAAATTGGCGTAGGTCCAAAAACCTACCGTTGCATAAAAACTTGGACGACCTCCAAATTTTTCCAACCGCAATGAAGATTTTTTTTTTATTATAACGTGCACTTTTATTTTAAACTCCAAGTGTTTTGCAATTAAAAGTCTAGTCAGCATTTTCGAACTAATAATATAATAATGCAAAAAAAAATCAATTTTTATTTAATATTTATATGAATTTTTAATATTTCAATCGAATTGAAATTATACAAATTAATAAATTATTATTATCCTGGAGATATTAATTAGTAAAAATCAATGATTAACGTTAAAGCACTATGAAGTTATCAATAATTGATAACAGTGTTTCAGTCAATAGAGATTAGTCTTATCATAATCCATATGCCGTTATAAAATGTTTCTGAAAATTTTCATTGATAAATTGAAAATCAATGTACGATAATATTATTGTGTCGCAATTAATTAAATTTGCATGCGACAATGCATCATCGGCCAACGACTTGTTTACGGGTCAACGGGCGTTGCGTAATTGAGTTCATAAAAGCGAATTAAATCCATATGAAAGCCTGAATCAATGCAAATTGATATGCGAAATGATTTGCCTCTATTCAAATGCAATTTCCAAGTAAAAACATATAATCTCTCAATTGATGACACATTTTGCATGGAAATAATCCACCCGATTTTCAATTTTTTTTTCCCTTTATGGGTCAGCATGGAACAAAGGGCTATTAAAACCCTTTTGTAAATAGAAAGCAAAAAAAAAAAAGAATCTCAACTAAGCTTTAATATCTCTCATTATTACAACTGAAAGCTTTTGTCGTGCGTGTTTAAATTGCGATTAAAAATGAAACAAAGACTTCATTGAGATCAATGGAAAACGTTTTATGGGAAAGCTTAATTAAGTTAACACACGTAAGCTGAATGAGTATCTGGAAAGCAATTACGGAAAAAACCGCGCTATTTGCTAGAACTATTCGAGTTTCCCGCTTTAATTAAAACCGTGCGCATAATGAACATGAATTACTTTATTTAATTAATTTTAATAATCGCATATATCTGTATATGCGCTTTCTATATTCAGGATTACGTAATTCTGGGACGCAGGATCCAATTCCAACAAATTTAACTGCAGTCCGGCATACAATATAAGCGTTGTACAATGCATGAATGAAACGTTGCTCATTGTGTTGCGTTTGCTGTTTGGTAATTGAATTTTGACGTTTCCGATCGATATACTTCGGTATTTCCAAACAAAAGTATTTGCCATTTTTAATTGCAATTAATACATACATCAATATTTGTATTAACTAATTGATATTCATTTATTCAAACGCACGTAAACTTCAATTTTTTTTTATTAGATTTCGCACAAAATTTGCAAATTACGTTTCCTAAATAGAAGAATTAACTTGGAAAAATAACAAAACTAAAATACTTATAAAATCATAAAAAAATTGGAAATAATTTAATTATTTCTTTTCAAAAATAATATTAAAAGTTTTTCTTTTCAGTAAAACAATTTCTTACAAAACAAAAAAAGCAATATTGTACAAAGCAATTTATTATTATTGAAAATACAAATTTTACTATTATAATAATTTTTTTTAAGTAAATTCATTTTTTTTAAGTAAAATAGTTTAAATAATAATATTTTACTTTTAATAATATTAACTTGAAAAAATGACAAAACTAAAATACTGATTAAATCATAAAAAAATACGTATAAAATTTGGAAATAATTTAATTCTTTCTTTGCAAAAATAATATTAAAAGTTTTTCTTTTCAGTAAAACAATTTCTTACAAAACAAAAATAGCAATATTGTACAAAGCAATTTATTATTATTGAAAATACAAATTTTACTAATATAATTTATTTTTTTTAAATTCATTTTTTTAAGTAAAATAGTTTAAATAATAATATTTTACAATGCGTTTTATTACTGAATACGTTTCTGATTTGAATTGTATTGAAATAATGAAACAGTTTCAAATGCAGTAGAAATAACTAAGATTTTGTTAATCAAAATTGCAATGCAATTAAATCGTCTAAATTCGTTCCGGTTGAAACAGTTCGTTATGTAGTATGTAACTAGCAGCAGCTGCAGGCGGTAATTTACGTGTTAGTTTGATTGCGTCGAGCAAAATTGCCTCGGCATAATTTTGGTAATGAACACAAACTGCGTACGTTTCGTTCTAATTTCGAAATTGCAATTCAAGTCCTGAATACACAGACACACAAATAACTCTCGGACTTTGCTGTTAAAGTGCATAAATGGGTCTCTCTCACAGTGCTGATATTTGCATAAATATTTGCTAATTTATATCGCATATGCATGGAACGGTAGCAGGAAAAACAATGAACGAAGCTCTGGGTCAAGGCTGTCCTCATGCATGGCGGGTCGTAATCGCATAACAGAATTGAACATAATCCCATGTTTGGGGAGGACGATTGGATGGTCTATGTGCGATGTGTCCATAAATTCCGATGGGATTCGCGCAATATCTACTATTGAACATCTAACAAGAAAGTCAAAAACAAATACAGGATACAGCAATTACATAAGATGTATTTATAAATTGGTATTTTTAGTTTTCATAATAATTGTTTTGATCGCTTAACGAGTTCTATCTTAAGTTTGAAATAAAGCTTTCATTTATAAATTTCTTGAATAGAAATTTTATACATTTTTATTATTAATCATAAATTTGTTATCTTTATCTTTAATTAATATTTGTTTAATTAATGTAAAAAATATTTATTATATCCACATTTTGTATATTCTTACAACCAAAATGAACTGGATTAATATAAAGAATAGGTTTTTTTTATTATTCAGCTGTGTAAAATATATAATAATGAAGATGTCCATTGGGTATAGAAAGTATACGAGGCGGAAACGGATAACGTTGAGTCCGGTGCGATTTACGTTGGATTACGTAACGCGCATCTGGGGGTTGGGGTGAAAATGTACGGCGTCAGGGAAGCGCTTCGCCCATACTTTATACGGGGATTACCGCATCCGAGAAGCAGCAAAAAGTAGAAAAAGAGTCTTCATCCCATTCAGAAATCGATGTGGAGAACTCGCAGTTTCCCGTCTACGTGACATTCATTCCCCGACACACACACACAGAGAAATTTCATGGTGAGCCGCAACACTCGTTCGAAAACTAATTACATAATGACCGCGCGGCTTTCGTGTGTCCAGCAATATCTTTTCCATTTAATATTTGCGGTCTGCGTAATTACATTTCAAAATTACACCGAACTGCAATGAACAAGTAAACTGTAAAATAGTGCACGGCATTTCATAATTACTTTTCATATACTTCGTGGAAACGGTGGAGTAAAAACGCGTTAACTCTTATTCAGTTATTTAATTAAAATTTACTTCATGCTTTGGAATGTAAATGAAACGCGAGATTCCATTTATTTGCAAATGAAACGCGAAACGCGAGAATTTCAAATTTAAATTTCAGTTAAAAAACAAAATCATTTCATGTTACATTAAAATCACATAACGTAAAACAATTTTCGTGGAATAATCTAAACAGACAAATATTTTAAAATTCTTTACAACATCAGGATACGATAATTCACTTGAATTACTCGGCGCATTCACAATACGAGCATGATTACAGCCCATTATGTAACTGCAGAAAAAAAGAAATGGTTCGAATGTAAAAGTACGGGTGAATTGATTTTCTGATTTGTTTGTTGCGCCAAAGGCAAATAAATATTTAGGTTAATTGATTTTCTCATTACCGGAAATTACATCTTCAAGTCTTTAATATTATTAAAATCAATACATAAAATAATTTCTTTACACATTTTTTCAGTATCCAATTTGTTGTTAACAGTTAGTATAATTTCTATTAATTAAAATAAACTAAAATTAATTAATCATAAATAAAATAACGAACATATGTAAAGTGATCATAGGTTTTTGTATAAAACA